TCCTTATATATATCTAAGAGTCCTAACTGGGGTCTGAATGGTAGGGATTACTTATCCTATTCCTTATAGGACTAAGGGTTTGGTTTAGGGATAAGGGTCCATGATCCATGGTGGACCCTTCTTAATTAATTAAGGGAATTCAATTCTCTTTTAAGGGTAAGTAATTAAATAATTAGTTTGGGTTAGAGGCCGTAACACGGGGTGTTACAAAATCCACTGAAATGCTTTCAGTTTACGCCTAAACACATCCCCATCATTTCCATGTCACACTCATGCTTCCTTCTTCGCGTACAAGCTGCTGCAACGACGATGAGGAAGCAGAAAGCAAGAACTAACTTTCCTTTTTTTAAGCTTAAAATGACCATTTTACCCTTGTGATTAAACAATTTTAAAGGAATTATGTCTTTTTGGCAATATTTGGCTGGCGATTTGGCCGGGGGGACCAAATGTCTTATAAATTGCATAGTTACAGGACTAAATTAATAGTTTTTAAAGTCAAGTACTCAAATTAACAAGACCACGATAGTCACAGGACCAAAAGTGTAATTATCTCATATTAAAAAATTAATGTTAAAAAATAAAATTTTAAATTATAAGAATACAAATTATTTTAGTGTATGAGTAGAATTTGGTGTAACTAGGTTGGAGAAATTTACGACTTGTAATTTACTATGGGGAAATTTTTGCCAATTTTATTAAAACCTAGAGAATTAGATTATGGGGAAAATTGTAAGAACATTCAAGAATGTGTAAGAATATTTAGAGAATATTCTCTTTAGTATCAAAATTGGTGCAAAATTTACGACTTGTAATTTACTATGGGGAAAATTTTGCCAATTTTATTAAAAACTAGAGAATTAGATTATAGAAAACATAAAACATGTTTACTAGTACAGTTTCTCATTTATAGCAAATCATTGCATATATACAAGCATGTCATAATAAAGAACAAATTTGCTATGTGTAAAGGGTTCGAAGGGCATGTGTTGCCCAATCAACAATGCCCATATATAGTTACGTTAGTTGTTCGAAAATTCAGATTTCATCCATTTATTCTCCAACATTCCTTACCAGTTACACAATCCACAAAAACATGATTATTCTGCATCATTGCACGAATGTCATGTTGTAGACACCTCTATTGTTTTTGCACAAAGTTACAGTATAGAGACACTTAATGCAAGTTTGCCAAAAGAATACGTACTTTTTTAACCTTGGAGGTAGCTTAAGTTTCAACATAATGGTCCAATAAAAAATATTGTCATTAGGAAATTCACCCACTAGGCTATGTAAGAGGTTTTTACCGAGAACCTCCAAATGAGTTTATCCCTTTCTTTTTTCTAAGGAACAGTGAGATACTCAATATGAGTTTAATATCCCTTTGCTCGAATATATCTTGTACAAGTATTGTGTAATCACCTCCACAATGTCTGCGTAAAGCTGAAGCAGAAATTCGAAACAGATGCATGCGTGGAACTATATCTCAAAGCAAATAGCTGAAGCAGTGAACAAAGAATAAACGTTGTGCCGTGTTACGTTGAACACTACCTTAAAAGCATTAAATTTCCGGTGACGAAGCCGGAATGCTTTCGACAGGCAACACAGGTTAATGTATATATATATGTATGCTCAGACCGGGAAGAGAATAAGGTATGCAAAAGAGATGATGTTACGAACTGTGTTTTCTGTTTGGCCCTTTTCAAACAAGAAGAAAGGGAATTTATAGTGTAAGGTTGAACAAGCTCTTCCATTATTATGACCACAAGTTGATGCGCTATTTTAGCGGAACATTTCTTGAAAGATGCCACGTCTCAGAGGCTTGCGGACAAGGAGAGAGGCAAACTGGACAGTTCAGATATTTTAGGAAGGAAAAATAATAAGTAAAACAACAAAAATTGCCTTCTTTATAAATGGATTCCAACAATCCCCCACACATTCAAAAGGAAGGCATGGAAAGAAAAATGCCTGAGCAATACTCAAAAGTTGACCTTAATGTTAGTGAACTAGTTCTTGAACTAATACGTAGTGACATTGAGTAATTTTCTTTCCAAGAGTGATATGAATCTTGAACTCTTTAGTTAGATAAATTTTGAACTCCAATGCACACATCAACTTTCATAAAAGTCCCCGTCATGTCTATCTCAATATAGACTTTCTAGATCCGTCAAGTCTATCTCAATATAGACTTTACCTTTGTCAAATCTATCTCAACATAGACCACCTATTACAGGCTACAAAGTGAATCATGGCTATTTATTTTCACAAATTAGATGTAAGTCTTTCCATGATTTAGTTTGACCACCTTAGTAGTATCCATCATGAATTCCTTACCTCACAGATTTTAAACCCATCCCCCTTGATGTTTCAAGGATAGCCTTCCGGTTTAAACCTTTTATGAGAGGATCTGCAATATTCCTCTTAGACTTCACACATTTGATTGCAATTACCCCATTAGCAATTAACTGCCTTACAGATTCATGTCTGATTCTTATGTGTCTTCTCTTCCCATTGTAGACACTACTCTTTGCAACACAAATGGCAATTTGTGAATCACAATGAATGGGTACTGATAGACATATTTTATACTCTTGTTTTATATACATCTTTATAATATTTTTGCATTAGTTATTTATAATTATTTAATAATTATTTCATTTTAGAATTTAATTAATTAATTAGTGTTTTATAATAATATTTAGTTAATAATTTGTTTTGAGTCCATTTTCTTAATTCTATCCTAATCCTATAACACTATGGCCCAACCCACCCAAATTCTTAGAAAATGACAAAATAAATAAAACATTTAACATTGCTTTTGTTTCTTTTCTTACGTACAGAACGTGCGGCAAAGCTTCGTCAAAATGCTACGAAATTCTCAACCAAGAACAAAAATTGCAGAAGAATTCGTCGCTCGACAAAATGATAGGAATTGTACGGTGGAAACTGATTTGAAAATAATTCAAGAGCTGTATAAATAGTAGAAGGATTCTCTTGTTGAAACGTCCATTCTTTCTCCTCTTGATTATCTTTTTTTCTTTAAAGTGGTTATCAATGTCCCTGCGTGGCTAATTTTCTTTAGCTTGGTTTAGTGAATTGAAGCCCCGGAATTGATTATGCTGTGAGATTATTTATTTATTTTTATTATATAATTTTTATGCATTTGAGTATTAAATATTCTTCTAAGTTATATGAATAGTTCTATCATTTAATTTCTAGGGAGACCTACTAGTTATTTATTTGATTTAAATATTTGCTATATTAGATAATGTTGTGCTACACATTATTCTAATTCCAAGTAGGAACTGAGATTAATTATTGACGGCTTTAGTTATAATTGGTCTCAAGTAGAATATTTTCATAAATTAAATGCAACCGCTTGTACTTGTGTTATTTAGTTTGTCGGTTTTCCTAGTTCCTATTGCTGCTATTAAATTAAATCTATAGCGCTTGTCTTAGATTATTTAGTAGTTAGGGGTAATTAAACGTGTGTGCTTTAGTTATCTACAACTAAGGGAAAATAGAAATTGTGACACCCCGTAAATCAAAAATCTAATCAAGGATTAATTGAGGAATTAATCCAAATCGCTTTGCTAATTTATTCCTAAAAATCCTGAAATTTAATAGTCGAGGGACTAGATTTTGACTAGTCACTTAAGTCAAAGGGTTGTACCTTGTGCTTCTTGAATTGTGCCCTTGTTCCCTTGTCTTTCCAACATTTGTAGGGGTAGGAATGTCTTTCTACCTAAAGTTTGTGATCCAAGCTAACCTAGCAAGGCTCTTTCATTTCATTCACTCCTCAATCAACGACACAAAACTCTAGCCTCTCTCTAAAAGACTTAGCTTCTTCTCCAAGCTAGAGTTTGAGCATCCAAGTCTTGCAAGATATTCTTCCAAGATTCCTAGTTTCTTCATCTTGAGTATAGGGAAAGGTAAGATCCTTGGTCCTTTGATGTTTTTAACCTTCCTTTAGGTGTCTTTTTCTAACGATAGAATCTTTGTTGTCTTTTGGTTTGTGTATGAAGTTGGGTTGGAAGAGGAGCTTTAGGAAAGGCTTTCTAAGGGTGGAAAAGGAAGTTATTAGGCTACATAGGTAACTCATGCTTTACAAAACCTATTTTCTAACTTATATGATGATTCTTGGCTTCTACTTGTGATTCTTGTGTTGATTTGTGAGATTTGATGCATTGTCTTGTTGTGATGCATGTTTAGAGCTTATTAGTAGGGTTCTTGAATGCCATTGCTTGGCTATTTCTTGGGTTCAAGTCATATTGTTGTTGTGTGTGAGATTTTGGGTGTTTTGGACTTGAATTTGGCTTTGTTGTTGAAAATCCCCGAAGGGATATTTTTGGTGTACAGGTGGGTACCCGCGAGCGGAACGGCGGGCAGAGGCCTACCTGCCGCCCCACCCACGGGGTACGTGGTGCCTTGTGGGTCGGTACCCGCGGGCGGAACTGCGAGTGGTTGTCCACCCGTGGCCCCACCCGCGGGGTACACTGTTGGATGTTGGCGGGGATTTGTTCCCCGTGATTCTTTTGACTCGGTATTGATGTTTTGACCTCCCGATGTTGTTTTATTGGGCTATTTGTGAGTCTTCTTGATGTTTCGTATGTCTAGAACGATATGTTAGGAATCCATGTAGGATTTGGTGTCTTGAATCGTGCTAAGGGTCCTACATTGTGATTCGTTGGGCTAATGTGAGTGTTGAATGTTCTTTGGAACTACTTTTGGTTTACCCGTTTGTTAAGCATGCTAGTTTGATGTTGAAATGCTAGTATGTGTGGTTTGTTCCTTCCAATTGGGATTGGCAACTTGTGTTGACAATCATTTGGTGTTGGATTGTGATCCTTTGTTGTTGAGTATGGTCTCATGTCTTTATTGTGATCTTTGATTGATTCCTATGATGTGAACGTATGTAAATCGTTGTACCCTTTGATTGATACTTGATTAAGGTTATTGTTGAGCCTTAGTCCTCTTGGTAATGATGATGATCTTGTGTGACTATGATTGAAATTGGTGGTGTGATATCTGAGCTTGGCTCATATGTTGGAGGCTATGTGAATGAAATTAATGGTACCCTCGTGTACTGAGAGTTCGGCGGTATGTTGGAGGCTATGTTGGAGGGGGGACGACGGTCACTAGCGGTACAAGGTTGGACTCAGAAGTACAGGGTGGCACTAGGAGGTAATGGTTGGAACTGAAATAAGGCCGGGGGTAGCCATAAAGTTGGAATTATGATACTTGTGACATGTAGTTGTCACTGTGGCATGTAGTTGCCAGTGTGTGAATGTGAACTCTTTGCTTATGAGCATGTCTTGATGTATCCTACTTTGTGATCAGTAGAATGCATCTTGAGTTGTATTGTCTTACACGTTTGTTGTCTTGTTGCTATTGTAAGGATGGTGATTCCTATTTCCTTTGAGAGTGCATGATGAGTCTTTGAAGTTGACTTCTCTCCTTGGTTTTGAAATGATATATATTGTATTCCATTTCAAAATGGTTTTGATTATACTTATCTATATATGCTATTTAAAGCATATTGATGGGTTACCAACAATATTCGCTGACCGGGTGTTATCCCCATGTTATGTTTTCCTTGTTCTACAGGTTTTGAGTAGATGTCCGAGAGCGCTAGACATGGATCGCTAGATAGATTAGCTGTCCTGTGTAGACGTTATGTTTTGTTGGCCTGTGAGCCTAGTTAGCGGCCTGTGTGCCTTGACACTTATGTTTTGTTTGAATTGATTAGTTTTCCCGCCTGTGCACCTATGTCTGAGATAGGTGTCGCATAACTCGTTCCGATTTTATATAGCTTCCGTTGCTTTATGTCTTGATGATTAGATGTTTGCTTGTGCATTTAAGTTTTAAAAATGTGGTAAAAATCGGGGGTGTTACAGTTGGTATCAGAGCCTAGGTTTGAGCCTAGGATGTTAGGATTTGAACTTTAAGAAGTTAAGTGTGGTTTGAGACCATAAGATGACCCTTAAGTATCTAAGCGCTTAGGACTTAGGACTTTTAGGACGCGTGGTGAGCTGTGTGTTGTTTGTCATTTGTTATGTTTGCTTCGTTGTTTCTGTTTAGTTCTAGTGTTCTCGCCGTTAGCGCTGGGTAAGGGTGCGTTGTTTGTTTGTGCCTTCTGTAACTGTGTTATTTCTGTAGAAGTCTCGCCATGGCTCCGTCTCGTCATCGCTCCCGTACACCTGAGACGCCGACCAACGAGCAGCTGGCTCAGAACATACAACATCTGACACAAACGATGCAGACGCTGAGCAATGTTGAAAAAATCGTTAGGCGCCCTCTAGGCGCCTGGGGACTGCCTAGGGCGCCTAGAGCGCCTAGACGGGCGCCTAGAACGCCTAGGCGGGCGCCTAGAGAGCCTAGCCGAGCGCCTAGGCCGCCTAGGAGGCCGGGAGCCTAGCGCCTATGCGCGATTTTTGCAACAGTGACGCTGAGTGAAACCCTTCTGCACAACAACAACCCTGCTCCTCCGTCGCCGCCTGCCGCGAATCGGGATGTGGGACGCTTAGTCTCGGGGCATAGGCCACCAGTTTTCGCTGGAGAGGAGGATCCCGTGTTACTTGAGGAGTGGATCCGGTCTCTCAATAAGATCTTCGCCGTTGTGGGTTGTCCTGAGGATCGCCGCGTGGAGTTGGCTTCTTTCTACTTCAGCCACGAGGCCGATCTCTGGTGGGTGCACGAGGGTCCCGCGTGCCAAGAAGAGCCTGGTTTCGATTGGTCGGCCCTGAATGACAAGATGAGGGAGAGGTTCTATCTATCTCACGTCCGAGCGTCCATGTACAAGGAGTTCTTACATCTTCAACATGGGTCGTCATCTGTGGTGGAATACCACAAGCTCTTCTTGGAGCTTGCCCGTTTTGCCCAGATGTTGGTTCCCACCGAGCTAGCGAAGGTGGAGAAGTTTGTGGCGGGGCTCAATTACGAAGCCCGGAAGGCGTTAACCGTGACCAAGCCTAGAACTTTGAATAAAGCCTATCTGAGCGCAGCCGATCTGTATCGAGTGCAGCAGCTTCAGCGGGGGTCTTTTAGGTTCACCAAGAAAAGAAATGAAGGAAGTGGGTCCTACAGCTACAAGAAACCGATGTGACACCCCAAAAATCCACATTCAATTCATGGATTAATTGAGTAATTAATCCTATTTTATTTGAGGAATTAATTCCTAAAATCCTGATTTTTAATACTCAAGGACTAGTATTTGACTAGTCAACCTTAAAGTTGTGTTGTACCTTGAGCTTTGAGGGGAGTTCCCTTGTTCCTTACACTTTCTAAAGGTTAGTAAGGGTATTCTTGACTTTTCACCAAGAGTTAGTATTGTAACCTAACCTAGAAGACTTATTCATTTCATTCCTTACAATTCCTAGAAATTAGCTCTACCTTCTCTCTAGAAAAGAAGTGTAGCTTATTCTCCAAGCCAAGTTGAGACCCTTGTAAAGATTCCAAGATTTGCTCCCAAGATTCAACCTTTCACCTATTTGGGCATCTAGGAGGGTAAGATCTAAGTCCATCTTGTGTTTTTGATTCCATCTTAGTTGTCTTTTTCTTAAAAGTAGGATCTTTATGATCTTTTGGTTTGATCTTGAAGTGGATTTGGATAGTAAGCCTTGTAAGGAGCTTGTTGAGGTGTAAAGTGAAGTCTTTTGGTCTACAAGAGGTAACCCATGCTCTACTAAAACCTATTTTGCTTACCTATATGTGATTTCTTGGATTCTACTTGTGCTTTGCTATGAAATGTGTGAGGGTTTATGCATTTGTCTTGTGATATTGCATATCTAGAGCTTGTGTTTAGGGTTCCTTTGTGCCATTGCTTGGCATTTTCCATGGTTCAAGTCATTTTGTTATATTGGGTGAGATTTGGCATGTTTTGGACTTGAATTTGTGTTTAGAGAAGAAAATCCCCGAAGGGATTTGTTGTGGTACAAGTGTGTACCCGCGGGCAGGGCACCACCCGCCGGCCTACCCGCGGGTACATGGCCTTGTGGGATGATGTTCCCGCGGGCGGAACCACGGGTGGGGCACTACCCGTGGGTCCACCCGCGGGTACATGGTTGGTGTTGTGATGGGATTTGTTCCCCGTGATTCGTTTGACTCGGTATTTGGTCTTTTGACTTCTCGATGTTCTTTTGTGGAACTATTTGAGCGTCTTCTTGATGTTTCGTATGTCTAGAACTATATGGTAGGTATCCATGTAGGACTTTGGTGTCTTGAATCGTGCTAAGTGTTCAACATTGTGTTTCGTTGGACCGAGAGGTGTCTTGTGTGTTCCTCGGAACTATCTTGAGTTTCTCTGTTGTTAAGCATGCTAGTTTATTGTCTTAATGCTAGCGTGTGTGTGGTTTGTACCTTCAGTTTGGTTGATGATAACTTGTGTTATTCATCGTTGATGTTGTTGGGTTGTGACCCGTTCCTTGATTGAGTATGTTTCATACCTTCGTTGTGATCCGTTGTTTGACTCTTGTTGAGTTGTGGTGCATGTGTGGCTTTACCTGGATTGCACAATTAGTGGTATGAGACACTAGTCACCAAGGTATTGCAGCGGTCCTCGTGGTGGCCGTTGCGTGATTATGGAGTTGTGGCCTTTGTGTAAGGTTCACGTTTTGGGGGATAACAGGTGTTATCCGGGCATGTGTGCCATGTGCGTGTGCGGTACCTCGTGTACCATGAATTCGTGGTTTGTTGGTGGGGGACGACGATCCCGGGAGGGAAAAGGTTGGACTAAGAAGTACAGGGGGTCCTGGAGGTAATGGTTGGAAAGAAGATACAAGGTTGGGGGTAGCCATAAGGTTGGAGCAGGGCATAAGGAAGGCATATCAACTTGTGGTGGGTGATGTCACGAGGGCTTGTGTAGCCGTGGTTGTGTGTTCTCTTTCTTGTGACGTGTGTAGTCACAAGGGCATGTGTTGCCATCGGTCTTATAATTATCCTTTGCGTTGTGGTTATCCTTTGTGGTTTTGGGATGTGTTCCCGTATCTTTGTTGATGAGTGTTGAGTCTTGAGTTGGTGTTTACTCTTGGTTTTACACTTATATATATGTATTCCGTTTCGAAATGATTTTTGTATATACCCTACCTATGTATGATACTTAACAGGTATTGGTGGGTTACCAGCATTATCGCTGACCGGGCGTCGTCCCAATGTTTATCTTTGTATCTTTCAGGTGACGTCTAGACGAGCGCGATGTTAGTGGCCGGTAGTCTAGTATCTTTACCTTTGTTTTGTGGCCTGTGTGCCGTTGTAGTGTTAGACTGTTACCTTTTGGGTTAGATGTATACACTTGCAGATTGATCGCCGTAGCGTTTACCGTGTTTGGTAGACGTGGCATAACACCCCGTTTGGATTTCTTCTATCCAGTTCCCGTTTTTATCTTTCGCTGTGCTAGTTTGTTGTATGATCTGCATGTGTTAAGGCTTTTTATATAGCATGTTTGGGGGGTGTTACAGTTGGTATCAGAGTCTAGGTTTTGAGCCTAGGAAGGGTTAAGTCTAGACTTTCTAAGTGGTTAAGTGTGTTTTGAGACCTCTAAGCAACCTTAAGAAGCTAACTGTTAGACTTAGGACTCTAGGATGCGCGGAGAGCTGTGTGTTGTTTTCTGTTCTTTGTTTGTTGCTTCTCTTATCGTGTTGTTTTTGTAGAAGTTGCGATGCCTCCTCGTCCTCGCGCGCGCACCCCGGAGACCCCGACCAACGAGCAGCTCGCTCAGAACCTTCATCAGCTGACTCAGACCATGCAAACGCTCAGTGAAGCTCTGTTGAACAACAATCACGCTGTGCCGCCTCCTCCCCCTGCTGGGCACCGTGACGTAGGACGTTTAGTGTCAGGTCATCGGCCGCCAACCTTCGCTGGCGAGGAAGACCCTGTAGTCTTAGAAGAGTGGCTATGGGTGTTTGATAAGATCTTCACCGTGGTGGGCTGCCCCGAAGAAAGGAGAGTAGAACTGGCAACATTCTACTTTTGTCAAGAAGCGGACTTGTGGTGGGTCCACGAAGGCCTGGCTCTTCTTGAAGAACCAGAGTTCGGCTGGACAGCGCTCAAGGACCAGATGCGTGAAAGGTTCTACCCGGCACATGTGCGCGCTGCCATGTACGAAGAGTTCCTCCACCTGCAGCAAGGGTCCATGTCTGTGGTTGAGTACCACAAGAGGTTCTTGGAGCTGGCACGTTTTGCGAGGATGCTTGTGCCTACGGAACTCACCAAAGTCGAGAAATTCGTGGCCGGTCTGAACTATGAGGCGCGAAAAGCTTTGACTGTGAGTAGGCCGAGTTCTCTTAAGGACGCTTACGTGTGCGTCGCTGATCTGTAACGCGTGCAGCAGCTTCAGAGGGGTTCGTTTGAGCAGGTTAGGAAGAGATCTGAGGGCGGAAGTTCTTCTACCTTCAAGAAGTCAGGACCGAGTTTCCCGGCCAGGATCGTGTCATCTTCTTCTCAAGGACCTATCAGGACGGAGCACGGGAACCAAGCTAAAGCATCCCTTTGTCAGCGTTGTGGGAAGGTGCATGTGGGTTAAGGTTGCAACGGCTTTGCGTTCAGGTGTTTTCGTTGCGGAGATCGTGGCCACAAGATCGCGGAGTGTCCCCAGTTAGCTGGCCAGAGAGCGTTACCGCCACCCCCAGTAGCCGGAGGAGCATCGGGAGCTGGTTCGTGCCGTGGAGAAGTTGGAGCAAGGCCAGCTGGAAGAGTCTTCGTGATGGCGCGTTCGCAGGCGGAGTCGGAGGGTTTGGTGGAAGAAGAGTTGACAGGTAACCCTTGTCTTCGAGTCTATCCTTGTTTTCCCGAGAGTGTTGTGTTCTTTGTTGCCTTGGGTGTTATCTTGTGTTTCGTAGTTGTCTTTTGCTTGGTAATCCTTGGCATGCTTTTCTTGCTAGTAATTCCTTGGAGCTTAGTGTAAACTCTTTTCTTGCTAAGTGACTTCTTTAGTTGGCATCTAAGTCTTGTTGTGAAGTAGCCATCTATCTTTGGAATATCTTGTGCTTAGACCAATTTTACAATCCCTACACTTGGTTGTCCTTATAACAATTCCTTGTGAACTTTCTAAATTTTCCAAGTATTCTTTAAATTTGGAAATAGCAAAATTCTTTCTTGTGCATTCTCAAATCAAGCCTAAAGTTTAATTGTAACCTTTGAGTGTCAAACCCAAGCCTATTCCTTTTCAACCCAACTTCTAAACCACTTAAGCTAAATATCTTTCTTGAAACCTATCTAATTTTAATTCCTTCTAAACCATAAATTCCCACTTTACCCAAAATCCCCAAATTTAATCATCTTTTTCCCAATTTCTCCCAAATCCCTAAATCTCCCAAAAATTTCTCTCCTTCTCCTTTTCCTTCCTCTCTACCCGTGAACACCCTAAGCCTCATCCCCAACCCGTAGCTCCACCACCACCAACCCGTCGCCCCACCACCGCCGGACCACCGCCACACCGCCGTCGCTACAGCCGGAGCTGCCGCCGCCATCGCTGATCTGCTGTCCACCGCGTCGCCGAGCAGCCGCGAGAGAGAGAGAGAGAGAGAGAGAGAGAGAGAGAGAGAGAGTGAAGTAGCGTGAGTGAGAGGTAGAAGTTGTGGGCTTTGTTTGTTGAGCTTTGGGTCATCTCCTACCATGCCTAGAAGGTCAAGCTTGGCTAGAAAAGCGGAACGGGTGGATACCCACTACCTTGTTCTTGAAGGCAAAGCCTTTGATCCGAAATCTTTTTCTTGTTCCTTGTTGGATATGCTTAGGTATCAAGGTTTGTTGGATGGGTTTCTCACCATAAGGGCCGAGACATACCCGAGTTTGGTGAAAGAGTTTTACCGTCACATGGTTGTGACGAAGGAGGGTGAAAGGCTTGAAATCACCTCTAAGGTGAGAGGTGTAAAGGTTGTGCTTTCTGAGAAGAGGTTGGCTCAGTTGTTGAGTTTGTCTGCTACCGGAGTGGCTCAGTACAGTGGTCATTCTTGGATTAGTACGGATACCATGGGGTTCCGTGACTACTTGAGCTACTTGTTAGGCCGTACGAGTAGTTTCACTCAAGCCTCTAGGCCGGAGAAGAAGTGGTTGTCTGCGGAGCAAAGGATCTTGGTGATGTTGATATCAGCTGATCGGGCGTCGTCCCAATGTTTATCTTTGTATCTTTCAGGTGACGTCTAGACGAGCGTGATGTTAGTGGCCGGTAGTCTAGTATCTTTACCTTTGTTTTGTGGCCTGTGTGATGTTGTAGTGTTAGACTGTTACATTTTGGGTTAGATGTATACACTTGCAGATTGATCGCCGTAGCGTTTACCGTGTTTGGTAGACGTGGCATAACACCCCGTTTGGATTTCTTCTATCCAATTCTCGTTTTTATCTTCCGCTGTGCTAGTTTGTTGTATGATCTGCATGTGTTAAGGCTTTTTATATAGCATGTTTGGGGGATGTTACAGCCGAGACAAGACTTCAAAGCCGGACCAGCGCCTCCTCCGTCACAAGGATCAACTCAGGTGGAGAGTGGAGCTCAAGCAAGGGCTTTTGGATGCAAGAAATGTGGGAAGGACCACGTTGGGACGGATTGCCAAGGACTCGCGCTTCGATGTTTCAAGTGCGGGGAAAGAGGTCACAAAGCTTTCACGTGCCCTCTCCAAGCTAATCAGAGAGCCTTGCCATCTAGTGCTAGACCTAGTGGACAATCGAGAGGGAGTTTCGGGCAAGGTGTGACAGGGACAAGGCCTATGGGCAGAGTGTTCATGATGGGTCAGTCGCAGGCCGAGTCGGCAGGTAACCTTTCTTAAGCCCACCTTTTACCTTGAGAGTGTGCCTTTTTGTGTTTTTCATACCTCTTGTTGTGTGATTCTCTCGTATCTTTCGAGTAAGTTTCCTTCGTGATTCGATTGTTCATTCTGAGTGGTTTAATGTTAATCCCGGAGTTTTATGAGTATACATTTAATTCAAACCTCACTCCTTTGTGTCATCCCAGCCTAACTCGTTTATTCAAAGATTGGAATAGCCAATTATTAAGGAAATCTCTAGAAGTTAAGCTTAAAAAGTTGAAAGGAGTTTAAAAGGAAATCTCTAGAAGTTAAGCTTAAAAAAATGAAAGGAGTTTAATTTCTAGTTAATGGGTTTTGAACTCAAGTCTTTAAGTTTCCAACCACACCCTTTAACTATCTAAACCAATTGTGTTTCTTGAATTTATCCCACTTAAATCCCTTTTAACCTATAATTTTCAACTTACCCCAAAAATCCCCAAATTAAAACCTTCTTTTTCCCAAATTCCCAAATTTCTCAAAACCCTTCCCCACTGGGCGTGCCAATTTGTGAACAAAGAAAATTGAATAATATATATTGATATTCAAAATTCTGGTTACAATAGTATATATCAATGCGGTGTGGGTGCAAATCTCTAGATGTCCTCTGATTCTTCAATTTGATGCCTTGAACACTCCACTATTGAAGGGCCCCCGGGTTTCAAGTGGCTTAATCTTCAAAGAAGGGCGTGTATATATAGCTTGTTTTTCTTGAAGGGACGCCGGGTTCAAATGGCTTGATCTTCAATGAAGGTTTGGATCAACATGCATGATTGGATTGGAGGAGGGGCTTGGGCTTTTACTTTCATGATCACATTTTTATTGTGATCTCTGAATAAGCATCAGAGTTCTTTCTATGATTTTTGCTAGGATATGATGTGACACCCCGTAATCCAAATTCGATTAAGCGATTAATTAAGTAATTAATCCTAATTCGATTGGTAATTTAATTCCTAAAATTCTTGAAAATTCAATAGTCGGGGACTAGTAATTGACTAGTCAACCCAAAGTCAAAAGTTGTACCTAAAGCTTTGTGAGTTGTTCCCTTGTTCCCTTACACATTTCATCTTAGTAAGGGCGACTAAGACATTTCCTTGGCAATAGTCTTTCAAGCTAACCTAGGAAGACACATTTCATTTCTTCAAACACTCTCCAAGAGAAAAATCATAAGCTCTCTCTCTTCTCTCTAAAAGCTAGTTAGCTTTCTCTCCAAGCCACACCTAGGTCTAACAAGATCTTTCAAGTTTGCTTTCAAGATTCTACCTTTCATACTTTTGAGCATCTAGGAGGGTAAGATCTAAGCTCCTCTTGTGTTTTTAGTGTTTTCTAAGGTATCTTTTTATAAAGGTGAAGTCTTTTATGTTGTTTTGGTGTGTTCAAGAAGTGGGTGTGGAAAGGGAACCTTGCTGAGAGCTTTGTGAAGTGTTTAAAGTGAAAGTTGAGTCTTCAAGAGTTAACCCATGCTCTACAAAATCTATTTTGCTTACCTATATGATAATTTCTTGGATTCTACATGTGTTTTGCTATGAAATGTGAGTGTTGATGCATTGTCTTGTGAAAATGCATATCTAGAGCTTGTTATTAGGGTTCTTGTATGTCATTGCTTAGCCATTCCTTTGATTCAAGCCATTTTGTTGTATTTGGTGAGATTTGGCATGTTTTGGACTTGAATTTGAGCTTGGAGTTGAAAATCCCCAAAGGGATTGTTTGTGGTACATGCGTGTACCCGCGGGCAGAACGGCGGGTAGGCGTCCACCCGCCGCCCCACCCGCGGGGTACAGGTGGCTTGTGGGTGTGTACCCGCGTACCACAGGTAGGGGTCCACCCGTGGGCCCACCCGCGGGGTACATATGTTGGTTGTGCGGGGATTTGTTCTTCGTAATTCTTTTGACTCGGTATTTGGTCTTTTGACTTCCGATGTTCTTTTGTGGAACTATTTGATTGTCTTCATGATGTTTCGTGTGTCTAGAACTATATGGTAGGAATCTATGTAGGTTTGGTGTCTTGAATCGTGTAAAGTGTTCAACATTGTGATTCGTTGAACCGTGATGTTTCTTGTGTGTTCTTCAGAACCATGTTTGGTTTACCCGTTTGATAAGCATGCTAGTTCGGTGTTTAAATGCTTGCGTGTGTGTTATTTGTCCTTTCCTATTGGTTGATGATGACTTGTGTTAATCATCATTGTTGTTGGATTGTGATCCATTCCTTGATTGAGTATGGTTTCATATCTTCGTTGTGATCCGTTGATTGATTCCTGTGATGGTGTTGTGTGTGTGGTTGTACCTGGATTGCACGAATAATGGTATGGGACATTAGTCACCAAGGTAAGGCAGTGGTCCTCGTGGTGGCCATGACACGATTATGGAGTTCGTGACCTGTGTGTCGGGTTCACGTATTTCTTGGGAGGCATGTGTTGCCATGTGTGTGATCAATACCCTCGTGTACTATGAAATTGGTGGTTTTGTTGGCGGTTTGTTGGCGTATGGGGACGACGGTCCTCGGAGGGAAAAGGTTGGACTTGGTGTACAGGGGTCCTGGAGGTAATGGTTGGAACTAGACATAAGGTTGGGGGTAGCCATAAGGTTGGAACCGGACATGAGGAAGGCATATCAATTCGTGATGGGTGATGTCACGAAGGCTTGTGTAGCCGTTGTTGTGTATTTCTCTATTTTGTGACGTGTGATCTGTGATGTCATAAATGCATGTGTTGCCAATGGGTGTGTCCCTATTCTTTTGTGTGATGCATGTCGGGTGTTAATCTACGGTGTGATGGTTTATTATCCCTTGAGCCGTTCTTGTGAGTCGTTATTGCTCCTTGTCGTATTGGGATGTGTTCCTTTATCTGTTTTGAGTGTATAGAGTCTTGTGTTGATCTCTATCTTGGCTTTTGAAATTGATATATATTATATCCCGTTTCGCAAATGATTTTGTATTCATATAATCTATCTACATATGATATTTCACATGTATTGGTGGGTTACCAGCATCATTCGCTGACCGTGGGTCATCCCTTATTTTATGTGTTTCTTTCAGGTGATGAGTAGACGAGAGCGCGGTCTAGAACCTATTAGCTTAGATCCCTTTGTTTTGAGATGTTGTGGCCTGTGTGCCAATGGTAGACATTAGTACTCCTGTTTCTGAATGAATTTAGATTGTGGATTTATGCAGATGTTTCGCCTGTGCGTTCACCTTTGAGTGGACGTGGCATAGCACCCTTTATTTCCTATTCCTTTATTCCCTATTTAGTCTTCCGCTGTGTATGATGTATGACTTGTTATCTGCATGTCTAAGGCTTAATTTAGCGTGGAAATTAGGGGGTGTTACAGTTGGTATCAGAGCCTAGGAAGGAAGAGTCTAGACTTCTAAGTGGATAAGTGTGGTTTGAGACCTTAAGATGACTATAAGAATCTAAGTGTTTAAGCTTAGGATTTCTTAGGATGCGCAGTGAGTTGAGCGTTGTTTATAGTTGTTTGCTTGTTTGTTGTCTTGTTGGTAATCGTGTTGTTGTTGTAGAATCTTGCGATGCCTCCTCGTCCTCGTGCGCGTACGCCGGAGACCCCGACAAATGAGCAGCTTGCCCAGAACCTCCAGCAGTTGACGCAGACGATGCAAACCCTCAGTGAAACCTTGTTGCAGAACAACCATCCCGTGCCACCTCCTCAGCCTGCCGGGCATAGGGACATGGGGCGTCTCGTGTCGGGTCACAAGCCACCGACATTTGCAGGTGAGGAAGACCCGGTTATCTTGGAAGAGTGGATGAGGACATTTGACAAGATCTTCTCGGTTGTCGGTTGTGCGAAAGAGCGAAGAGTAGAGCTTGCAACGTTCTACTTCTGTCTTGAGGCCGATTTATGGTGGATGCATGAGGGCCCAGCTTGCCTTGAGGAACCTGAGTTTGGATGGACCGCTCTCAAGGATCGGATGCGCGAGAGGTTTTATCCGGCGCATGTTAGGGCTACAATGTATGAGGAATTCCTCCATCTCCAGCAAAGATCTCTATCGGTGGTTGAGTACCACAAGAGGTTTCTAGAGCTTGCGCGTTTCGCCCGGATGCTTGTGCCTACGGAGCTCGCCAAGGTTGAGAAGTTTGTAGCTGGCTTGAACTACGAGGCACGGAAAGCCCTAACCGTGAGTAAGCCGAGTTCTTTGAAGGAAGCATACCTGAGTTCCGCGGATTTGTACCGTGTTCAGCAGCTGCAGCGAGGATCTTTTGAGCTTGCAAGGAAAAGAACCGAGAGTGGAGGCTCTTCCAGCTTCAAGAAACCCAAGCCGAGTTTTCAAGCTAAGAGTGCGTCATCTCCAACCCAAGGACCCAACCGAGCGGAGCATGGAAATCAAGTCAAGATGTTTCCTTGCCGTAGATGTGGAAAGGTGCATGCGGGTTAGGATTGCAATGGCCAAGCGTTTCGGTGCTATCGTTGCGAGGATAGGGATCACAAGGTCGCCGAGTGCCCTCAGCAAGCCAACCAAAGGGCGTTGCCACCACCCCCAGGAGCCGGAGGAGCAGTAGGAAGTAGTTCGAGCCGTGGAGCAGCTGGGTCTAGGCCGTTAGGAAGGGTGTTCGTGATGGGACGATCGCAGGCAGAGACTGAGGGCTTGGTGGAGGAAGAGCTAGCAGGTAACCTTTTTCTAGCCTACCCTTGTCTTTAGTACACGTCTTGTTCTTTGTGCCATCGTGTGTTGCCTTGTTTTCCATGATTGTCTGTTGGAGTCGTTTCGTTATCCTTGGTATGTTTTCCTCTTTGGTGAATGATTCTTTTGGACCTAAGTGTAAGCCCTTCTTGATGAGTGATTCTTTTAGTTGGAAGTGCAAGCCTTTCGTAGAGATAGTTGTTCACCTCTAAGATGAGTCATGCTTGGATTAAGTCCATAATTGTTGCACATGTACAAATTGTAACCTTTCCTTCTTGCGAGTTACTTAAAACTCTCCAAGCAATTCTTTGAATTTGGAATGGAAAATCCATTAAAAAAAAAAAAAATCTTTCTTGTGAAGCCTAAAAGACAAATAGACTTTTATTTGAAAACTTTGAGTTTTAAACCCAAGTGTATCACTTGTCAAGTGAACTCTCTAACCACTTAAGCTAATTATGTTTCTTAAAACTTACCTAATTTAAATTCCATCTAAACCATAAATTCTTACTTTACCCAAATCCCCAAATTAAATCATCTTTTTCCAAATTTCTTCCCCAAATCCCTAAACCCCCAAGTTCTTCTTTTCTTCTTTCCTCCCTCTCCCTACCCGTGAGACGGCCGAGAAGTACCCCAACCCGTCGCCTCCACCACCTGCGCGGTCCTCGTCGCCGCCGTCGCCAGCTGCCGCCGCCACCGGAGCTTCGCTGTCGATCTGCCTCGTTGCCGCGACGCCGAGAGAGCAGCGAGAGTGAAGAAGAAAACGAGGGGAAAGCCTTGGGTCCTTTTTGTTGAGCTTTGGGTCATCTTCAACCACGCCTAGGAGGTCAAGTTTGGCAAGAAAAGCGGAATGGGTGGATGCCCATTATCTCTTTCTTGAAGGTAAGGCTTTTGACCCAGAATCCTTTTCTAGTTCCTTATTGGATATGCTTAGATTTCAAGGTTTGTTGGATGGGTTTCTCGCCATAAGGGCCGAGACATACCCCATTTTGGTTAAAGAGTTTTACCGTTGCTTGGTTGTGACAAATGATGGAGGGAAGCTTGAAATCACCTCCAAGGTGAGGGGTGTGAAAGTGGTTTTGTCTGAAAAGAGGCTAGCTCAGCTTCTGGGTTTATCTGCTTCGGGAGTTTCTCAGTACAATGGTAACTCGTGGATTAGTACGGATACCATGGGGTACCGGGACTATTTGAGTTATTTGTTGGGTCGCACGAGTGGTTTTACTCAAGCCTCGAGGCTGGAGAATAAGTGGTTGTCCACCGAGCAAAGGATTTTGGTTATGCTTGTGTCAGATTGCTTGTTGCCCAATAACAACAAAAGTCGGTTGTTGGGGAAGTTGGAGTGCACCTTTGCTTTTTGCCTTAAGAACATGGTAAAGTTCAATCTGCCGGCTTTGATGTTGCAACATATGGTCTTCTGCCGTGATCACAACCGAAAGAGTCTACCATATGGTATGGTGTTGAGCTGGATTTTTTTCAAGAAGGGTGTGAGCGTTGATGGTTGTATCCCGAAGCCCGTTGGAAAAATGGTGTTGGATGTTATCAATATGCGGAGCTGCAACTTGTTTCAGTTGGATGATGGTGATTACATCACGCTAAAAGAAGTTGCTAGGAAGACCCCCGAGGAAAGAGATGAGTTGGTTACAGATCTCGAGATCCCTGTCGGAAAGATGAACCTCGCAGTTCAGAGCCTGGGAGGTGATGTGGGGAATGAGGGTGAAGCAGACCAAGAAGAGGAAGTGGAAGCGCCAGAAGATGCCGAGGTCGAGGAAAGCGATCCGGAAAGCGAGGAGAACCGAAGGAGGAGGGAAGCCCGAACCAAGAGGGAGCACGATGCTATGACGCACGAGGAGCGTGTGGTCACCTTGCTATGCCAACAGAACTGGATGATCGAAGAAGGCTTCGCTTTCATGAAGACGCAGTTTGTTGCCGTTCACCAGAGGCTAGATCAGATTGAGGCCAGCTCAAGCCGAAGAGGAAGAGACGAAGAAGAGCCCGAGGAGAGCACCGACGAGTCAGAGAGCGAGTCGTTCTAGCTTAGTGTTGTGGTAACCTCGTTCAACCTTTTTCTTTAGTTTGTGTTATCTTTTAGTTGTGTTACCGTTGCATGCTGTTGTGGGTTGCTTCGTGTGTTTGTTTTGCTTGCTTGCTTGGTTGGTTTGTTGGTTTAGTGGTTGTGTTAGAAGTTAGAGGTTTAAACCTTGGTGGTTAGGTAGAAGTTGTTGGTTGTGTTTGTTTTGGAGTTTGATATGCTCAATATCTCCGTTGGTTAAATTCTTTCAATCCTTGTATCGATATACCTTCTTGCTTATGTTTGACACCTTTTGAATCCTTTGAGTTTTGACCAAATAAGGATGTTATTGACACTCTTGTCATATTGTGGTTTCGTTTCACCGTTTGATCTATTTCGTCGTACCCAAGCTTCGGGGACGAAGCTTCTTTGAAGGGGGAGAGGATGTGACACCCCGTAATCCAAATTCGATTAAGGGATTAATTATGTAATTAATCATAATTCAATTGGTAATTTAATTCCTTAAATTCCTGAAAATTCAATAGTCGGGGACTAGTAGTCAACCCAAAGTCAAAAGTTGTACCTAAAGCATTGTGAGTTGTTCCCTTGTTCCCTTATACATTTCATCTTAGTAAGGGCAAATAAGATATTTCCTTGGCAATAGTCTTTCAATTTAACCTAGGAAGACACATTTCATTTCTTCAAACACTCTCCAAGAGAAAAATTATAAGCTCTCTCTCTTTCTCTCTAAAAGCTAGTTAGCTTTCTCTCCAAGCCACACCTAGGGCTACCAAGATCTTTCAAGTTTGCTTTCAAGATTTTACCTTTCATACTTTTGAGCATCTAGGAGGGTAAGATCTACGCTCCTCTTGTGTTTTAGTGTTTTCTAAGGTATTTTTTTATAAAGGTGAAATCTTTATGTTGTTTTGGTGTGTTCTTGAAGTGGGTGTGGAAAGGGAACCTTGTTGAGAGCTTTGTGAAGTGTTTAAAGTGAAATTTGAGTCTTCAAGAGGTAACCCATGCTCTACAAAATCTATTTTGCTTACCTATATGATGATTTATTGGATTCTACATGTGTTTTCCTATGAAATGTGAGTGTTGATGCATTGTCTTGTGAAAAATGCATATCTAGAGCTTGTTATTAGGGTTCTTGTATGCCATTGCTTAGCCATTCCTTTGATTCAAGTCAATTTGTTGTATTTGGTGAGATTTGGCATGTTTTGGACTTGAATTTGAGCTTGGAGTTGAAAATCCCCAAAGGGATTGTTTGTGGTACAGGCGTGTACCCGCGGGCGGAACGGCGGGTATGCGTCCACCCGCCGCCCCACCCGCGGGGTACAGGTGGCTTGTGGGTGTGTACCCGCGGGCGGTACCGCGGGTGGACCCCCACCCGTGGGCCCACTCGCGGGTACATATGTTGGTTGTGCGGGGATTTGTTCCCCGTGATTCTTTTGACTCGGTATTTGGTCTTTTGACTTCCCGATGTTCTTTTGGGGAACTATTTGAGTGTTTTCTTGATGTTTCATATGTCTAGAACTATATGGTAGGAATCCTTGTAGGTTTGGTGTCTTGAATCGTGCTAAGTGTTCAACATTGTGATTCGTTGAACCGTGATGTGTCTTGTGTGTTCTTCGGAACCATGTTTGGTTTACCCGTTTGATAAGCATGCTAGTTCGGTGTTTAAATGCTAGCTTGTGTGTTGTTTGTCCTTTCCTATTGGTTGATGATGACTTGTGTTAATCATCGTTGTTGTTGGACTGTGATCCATTCCTTGATTGAGTATGGTTTCATATCTTCGTTGTGATCCGTTGATTGATTCCTGTGATGGTGTTGTGTATGTGGCTGTACCTGGATTGCACGAATAATGGTATGGGACATTAGTCACCAAGGTACGGCAGTGGTGCTCGTGGTGGCCATGACGCGATTATGGAGTTTGTGACCTGTGTGTCGGGTTCACGTATTTCTTGGGAGGCATGTGTTGCCATGTGTGTGATCGGTACGCTCGTGTACTATGAAATTGGTGATTTTGTTGGCGGATGGGGACGACGGTCCTCGGAGGGAAAAGGTTGGACTTGGTGTACAGGGGTCATGGAGGTAATGGTTGGAACTAGACATAAGGTTGGGGGTAGCCATAAGGTTGGAACCGGGCATAAGGAAGGCATATCAATTCGTGATGGGTGATGTCACGAAGGCTTGTGTAGCCGTTGTTGTCTATTTCTCTATTTTGTGACGTGTGATGTCACATAGGTATGTGTTGCCAATGGGTGTGTCCCTATTCTTTTGTGTTATGCATGTCGGGTGTTAATCTACTGTGTGATGGTAGATTATACCTTGAGCCGTTCTTGTGAGTCGTTATTGCTCCTTGTCGTATTGTGATGTGTTCCCTTATCTTTTCTGAGTGCATAGAGTATTGTGTTGATCTCTATCTTGGCTTTTGAAATTGATATATACTATATCCCATTTCGCAAATGATTTTGTATACAGATAATCTATCTACATATGATATTTTACATGTATTGGTGGGTTACCAGCATCATTCACTGACCGGGCGTCGTCCCTTATTTTATGTGTTTCTTTCAGGTGATGAGTAGACGAGAGCGCGGTCTAGAACCTGTTAGCTTAGATCCCTTTGTTTTGAGATGTTGTGGCCTGTGTGCCAATGTTAGACATTAGTACTCCTGTTTCTGAATGAATTTAGATCGTGGATTTATGCAGATGTTTCGCCTGTGCGTTCACCTTTGAGTTGACG